CTTCTTCAGAAGAATTATGGGAGTTTAACTTGAACTAGAACTGAACTAGACTAGAACTGAACTAGACTGAACTAGAACTGAACTAGAACTGAACTAGAACTGAACTAGAACTGAACTAGAACTGAACTAGAACTGAACTAGAACTGAACTAGAACTGAACTAGAACTGAACTAGAACTGAACTAGAACTGAACTAGAACTGAACTAGAACTGAACTGAACTGAACTAGAACTGAACTAGAACTGAACTAGAACTGAACTAGAACTGAACTAGAACTGAACTAGAACTGAACTAGAACTGAACTAGAACTGAACTAGAACTGAACTAGACTGAACTAGAACTGAACTAGAACTGAACTAGAACTGAACTAGAACTGAACTAGAACTGAACTAGAACTGAACTAGAACTGAACTAGAACTGAACTAGAACTGAACTAGAACTGAACTAGAACTGAACTAGAACTGAACTAGAACTGAACTAGAACTGAACTAGAACTGAACTAGAACTGAACTAGAACTGAACTAGAACTGAACTAGAACTGAACTAGAACTGAACTAGAACTGAACTAGAACTGAACTAGAACTGAACTAGAACTGAACTAGAACTGAACTAGAACTGAACTAGAACTGAACTAGAACTGAACTAGAACTGAACTAGAACTGAACTAGAACTGAACTAGAACTGAACTAGAACTGAACTAGAACTGAACTAGAACTGAACTAGAACTGAACTAGAACTGAACTAGAACTGAACTAGAACTGTACTAGAACTGAACTAGAACTGAACTAGAACTGAACTAGAACTGAACTAGAACTGAACTAGAACTGAACTAGAACTGAACTAGAACTGAACTAGAACTGAACTAGAACTGAACTAGAACTGAACTAGAACTGAACTAGAAATATAGTAGAACTACAATCTCCCCACTTCAAAAATACATCAAACACGACTGATCCTACAAAATTATACCGATCGACAAACAAGTTCGTTGTCTAAGTCTTTTGTTTTTTCATCATAATTTCTAAAAACTCACTACTACTTAAATATAATTTTCTTACAGACATTTCAACGAGATCATAAACTGAAGTATACGCTCGAATTATTAAAATTTTCTTTTCTATAATTGTCATAGGTAATGCATTTAAAAAAAAACAAGCAAGTGTGTGGAATTTAATGAAAATTAAACATTTAACATTTTCTACATTACTTTTATTCGTCACCATAAAAAAAATATAATTATAATTCAATTTATATGCTCTCTTGGTTGAAGATGACTATAAAATAATGTGGTTTAAAGTCTTAACCGAATATGACACAAATGTTAAAAAAAACTTTCTTTTTTAATATTTATGTTAAATTTTTATAATTATTAAGTTGAATACACATGGAACGGCCGCATGCTGATAAAATTTCATTAAATATTATTGTCGTTTATATATTTTAATCATATAGCAATTAAATGCATAATAAAAGTATGAAAGTATTTCTTTTGTTATTTAACTCTCACGTTCATTTTCAGTTTTTTTTTTTTTTGCGTTTTTTCATTTAAAAAAATATTTTCCATGGAATTTGTATTTGTACATATTTATGCGAGTTGTAGTTGAGTTTTTTTTATAATTTCTTCTGTATTATTATAATTTCTATTTATTCAATTCTATTTTATGGTTTTCCAACAACTTAACAACTAAACCAAACCGCCAACAACTAGCAGTACACAGTTGTCAAATGGACAGACTGTCAAATGCATGAGGCAAGGACAGACAGATGGACTAGTAGACAGACGGTCGAACAGACAGACATTTATTTAGTAAACATGAATAAACTTTTCAAGCAGTTGTCAGCATATTTTAACTTTATTTGTTGAAATATATAAACAAAAAAATGCAGCAATAATTTGAAAAATGTAAAAAAGTCATAATAATAACAGCAAAAACAACAACAGTAATAAAATACAGAAAGAAATAAATGCAAAAAGAAAGAATAATAAAAACAACAACTATTTAAATGACAAGTTTCTATACAATATTAAATGATGACGATGACAATAGTAATGATCATAATCATCATCATTGTGATTATGTTAACAATTACAATAGTTGTTGTTGCTGTTGTAAAGTTGTTAAATGGTTGGTTGCGTTTTGGTTGAGTTTTATGTGGTTTATGTTGATTTCAATGTATATGTTTTTTCATCTTTCTTTTTTTGTTTTTTTTTACTATAAAACAATGTTGTTTGTCACTTACAGACCATATTAAATAAAATATTATAAATACTTTGTTTTCCATCATCAAATAATGATGTTGATCATTATTAACTTTACCAGCTATTACAATAAAATCATCAACGTCATCATTATCATGTTTGCTTCTACATTGTCAAATCTGTAGCAGTTGAGGGAGGTGGTGTGTAATTTTTAACATTAACCTCCACTTTTGCTATGGCTGTTTATACATATTAACTCATCCATTCATTCGTTAGTTGTTTATTCATTTATTTGTTTACATTGTATTCACATTTTTGTTTTATCTGACAACAATAAAATTTAAATGCTGACTTGTGTTACACTGTTTAAAAAAAAGGATTTTTTTGAAACAATAGTATTGTATTATACGAAATAATTATTTCTTTTATGTGGCTTGAACCTTGTGAAAAGAGATACCGACAAATTTATTTGCTCTTGTTCATATGAATAGCATTTAAGGTACTCAAATTAACACATAATATAAATTTACATTTCATTTCATAAATATAGGTTTCGGTTCCTAAAAAATATTTTTTGTCGAATTTCATCATTAAACCGCATTTTAAAGCCTGTTTGAGAGTTAAAGTTATTTTTTGAAGAGCTGCTAAATTTAATAGACAAATTTTTGTTCACTCAAATATCGAATTTCATCGCTATACTGTTATTATTAAGCTAGTAAAGGCGTTGAAATGATTTTTTGAAGGGGAGCTTATATAGGGGTAGGGTCTATTGGAAACCATCCCTCATAGTAGGAGATCTCGGAGTTACGAAAATTTATACTAACACATCCAAAAGTCATATATATAACTGATATTTATAAATGTTAATGATCGAAAAAAGTTCGTTGTCTAAGTCTTTCGTTTTTTTTTTAACTCTTTTGAAATATAAATAAATTTTAACGAAGTTTTATATTTGTTATAAATACTGTAAATGAGCTTAACGTCACCTAAAATGCAATGCACCCATAAAATATAATGAACAGTAGAGTTTGGGAATTCCCGGGAAACGGGAATGAAAAAATTCAATTCCCAGGAATCCCGGGAATTTATATAAAACTTAATTTATAACTATAATAACAACATTTTTAACAAAAACATACAACTTTTTTTTATAAATTTAGCGATATCTAAAATATTCCTCTTTTGAGAACAAATCAAACCATTTCTTTAATTTCTATAGGGTACTACATGATCTTAATATTCGCGGCAACATAGAAATATTCTTCCACTAAACTATTATACTACTACTTTCCTATTATTTAGACAATGAAAGTATGATCTGTCCTCGTCTATGTTTGAATCCCTCTGAATAGGGGCTTTTATGGAAATGAACAGGCAGATGAGTTTGCTAGAACGGGATCAGCTCTTGATATCTTCAACGCGGTCTCAGTAACAACTCCTTTAGGTATTATAAAGAGCTGTATCCTCACATTCTTTCTTCAGAATATTGAAGATAGATGAAGGCATTGTGGCCTTCTTTCAATGACACGTTATAACCCGAATTACGCGATTGATAGCAGTAATAAAAAGATACTGGGTGCTAGGCAGATATGCAAATCAGCTTGAGCTACCCTGCAATGAGTACTGTCGCAGTTGCAGGGAAAAGGAAGAAACTGTCTTCAATCTTCTCTGTCCTGCTCTAGCCGCTAAGAGAAACTCTTGTTTGGCAGTTAATTCATAGCCAACCTTGGTGAGATCGTTTGCATACCATAGGACTGCTAAACAGATCATATACTCCATAAGCAGAGGAATAGTTAAGTATTAAATTAATAAGATTCATTCATAATTCTTAAAATTAGTTAAATATAAGAAAAGATCAACTTTTCCGTAATTTTGTGGAAAAATGTCAAGCTACTGAGATAACTCAAACGATTTCCACAGACGTTGGCTTTAGAAATTCATTATTGTCAAAATGTTTTGTTCTGTTTGTACTTGCTTCAAGTTAAGCTTTTATATAGATTGATTGATAGTTTGTAATTAAGGATTTTTTAATTTCCTTCTGCACCATTAATGATGTTTTGTAATTTGTCTTTAAAAAAATCTACAATAAATTATAAAATCGCTTACTTAAAATGCCGACAAACTTTTCCCGGACGGGATTTCCCGAACCCCAAACTCTAGTCTGTAGCCATATTTGACCTTAGTCCCATATATGTAAGTATTATGGGAACAAACATTTCTATACTAAATTTTATGAGAATCGGTTCATAATTGACAATAACCCACATAAAACCCATGACACAGAAAATTATAGCCGTATATAATAACTTTGAAAATATATTGCTGATCTACAATAAAGTTTCCTGTCTAAGTCTTTTGTTTTCGGGTTAATTTTTTGGCCAATTTTCATCAATTTTAATGGATCGATTTATGATAAAACAATTCGGAATAAATCTAATGAAAGTGTCAGTTCATAATGACCTAAGACCATGCATAGGATCATACATAGGACCATTCTATAAAAAAAAGTTTGCTGTCTAAGTCTTTTGTTTTTAAGGTAATTTTTTTTACCAAATCTTCATAAAATTTAATGAATAGATTTATATTTAAATAAAACTTAATTATTTATGTAAAAAATCATCATGATTAAAGTATTTAACATTCTTTTATCATTCTTAAAGAGCAGTGAAAAAAGATAACGCCTTCTTTTAAATTCCAATTCCTCTACATGAAAAGAATTTTTATGACAAAGCATTTATTTTACAAATGCTCTCATTATAACAATAATTATAATTTAAAATTTTGTATACAAATATACTTACATTTGTAAAACGTTAAAATCCCAAATATTTCCAGTGTTTAGGGTTCTTTGTGTTAAACTGTATTGTTTAAAACCCACAATACATGTAACTTTAAAACCGTTACAACTAATGAATTTGTTAACACCTTCAATAAAAATTTTGTTATTTTATGTTAATTTTTCCACACACAATACTTTTCTTTGACTATTTAGTATTTCTATTCAATTCTTTTGTTTTCAATAAATAAACATCATTAACTTTTGGCTTATTATATTATTATTTTAATTATTCTTTTTTCTCTTTTTCTATATACAAAATATCTCATACATAAATAATGATCAGCACATATTTATGATTATTTTATCTTTTTTTGGTAATTTTGATATTTTTTTTCTGTATTTTTCTTAAGGCATTCACCACTTTTATTGTGGTTGTGTATTATTGAATTATTACGGTTTCATAATATGCGGCCGAAAATTAACAATAAACAAAAAAAACACTCTTACACACAAAACTATACAAAAAAGGCCAAAACACTACAAAAAGTATAAATATAAAACAAAAATCTACATTACAATGGTTTTGGCCACGAGGTTTTCAACCTGGTTCAATTCCACACAAATAAACCATAAATAAAGCAAAACTTTTTTTTATGATTTTTTTTTTATTATATGTATGTATATATTTTTTATTATGGAGCGATATCAATAACAACAATACTTGTAACCGACCGACGGAACGACGACTACTTGTATATACATTACGTTTTGTTATGGTATCACTTGCATGTGCGCCTGCGCAACAAACTTAATTTTTTCTTATTTCTTCTTGATTTTTCTTCGAACAACTCTATTCACTCTTTATTGCTCTTTTTAAACTCATTTTAGTTATATTTAAACTCTTTTATCAGAAAAATAACACTACTATTATATTAATTCAATGGCTAATAGTTTTTTTGTTGTCGTTTATATTTTTCATCCAAATTCCCTATTTTAGCATTAAAATACAAATTATTTCTCAAGCTGTTTGCAAGACAAAAAAAAAACTACACACAAAACACCTGTTGAACGATATTTATGATTATTTTCAAGCTTTATTTGTTTTATTCCTTTTCTGTTGCTTTAACAAATTTCATGCGAAAAATCCGCTTTTTTTTAGTACCATACCGTAACGTTTCAAGTTTTGTTTGTTACTGAAGAACTCAAATGCCGCATGGGCAAAAGCCACTGCTTTAGCAGCAAAAGCGTCAACAGCAGCAGCAGCTTAAAATTGGTAGTTAATGTTGGTAGTAACAGAAGCAAGACAACACACACTCTCTGTTCATATTAACAGAGTGCCAATAACAGCAACAGTTTGTTGGTCAACAGCTTGAGCTAAGCAATATTTATCAGGCATGAACAATTGAGATTTTGAAATGGTACTGAACTTTAGCCTGGAGTGTGTTTTTTTTTTTCATAATAATAAAAAGTACTAAATCGTATTATTGCGTATTACATAAATAAGTTTAAACTTTTTATGAGGACTTAGGTCAGATTTCGAGAAAGTAATAAATTGCTAATAACAACTCATTTTTGTTGAATCTTTCAAAATATGTTGTTTTTGAAATTTTATAGCGAGATTTAGGTTCAAAAAAAAAACATGTTTATAAAAGTCAAATGTGAATATTTTTTACCCACTTCTATGTCAAATAAACTACTTCTATAGAGAATATATCTAGTTATTTTCTGAATGGGGCCTTGTATGGAAGGTAGGGTCAATTATGGGCCGATCTTCATAAAATCCAGTAGATAGATTTCGGTACTTATAAAACTGGTGTATGTCAAATTTCATCACTATACTGTTATTTTTAAGTCTGTTAAAACTGTATTCCGGCGGTCCGCTAGTATGGGAGTCAGGTGAAATTGGGAACTGATTTTGACCAATTTCAATACCAAACAACTCAATTTCAATACCAAACAAGAAAAGTATTTGTGAAAAATTTGAACTCTCTAGCTGTTTCTTTTCGGGCCCTACCTATGTTTTCAACAGATGGACGGACATGGCTAGATCGTCTTAGAATCTAATGAGGACCAAGATAATATATACTTTTATGGGTCTTAGACCAATATCGCGATGTGTTACAAACGGAATGACAAAATCAGTATACACCCCCTTATTTTGATGGTGGTTATAAAAAGAACATATGGAAAAAAAATCTTATAGTGTTTAAACTTCCATCCCTGATATTTACTACAAAAAAAAAAAAAAAAACAAAGAAAACTGAAGTTAACTACTCTTTACAAGCGCGTTTATACGCTCTAGCAAATTACCACACACAACAACAGTACAATTGTTTGACAAAAAACAACAACAACAAGAAATGGTTACTTATCCATTGCACAGTGTGGGAAATTTGTGTAAAGCCGGTTGGTTGCCTTCTTGTAATATTGAAAGCTTCAATATTATGTTTAGAAGATACTTATTCAAGTTTATTAGTGCAAATGAGAGAAGGTATGGTTGAAATAAGTTACATCAAATCCAAAGAAATACACCTAGGCCACTATCGGGCCTGTCGTGCGATTCTTTTTATGAAGAAAAAAACTGTTATTATTTTTCAATGTTCAAAAACTCAGTTTCCTGAATAAAATTCCTAAGAATTTTCCAATCAGTGTTAGTCAGAAATGTTATTTCCGGAATAACATCACTTCCAAGATACTTGGATGTAACTTCGACAAAGAAAGTGCTCCAAAGTTTCACTATCCTCTCCACATGCTCTACATTCGTCTGAATCCGAACGTCCAATTTTTTGCAGATGTTCTCGTAATCCTGTGTGTCCACTCAGAATACGTACCATCCTAACCTCATACTTGCTCATTTTGATGAGATTTTACGTCTTGCTCTCATCAGGGTCACCCCATAGGATCTTTGTGGTTCTACCCACCGTTTCATTATTCCAAGAGGCCTTATGGGATTCTTCCACCCATATTATTAATTCAGCTTTTGTTGCGTCGAAAGGTTTTGCGCTCGTCATGTTAACTACCTCGAGCTCCATTCCCTTTAAAGCTATTACATTTTCGTTGCCGACTACTCCCGAGTGGCCTGGTACTCTTATGATGTAAACCTTACCTCTAAAAGAATAATCAGTTAAAGCTTTCTTACAATCCAATAGGGTCATAGAATAAATGTTATCACTTGATATCGCCCTAATTGTCTTCTGGCTGTCGGTAAATATATTAAGCCCTGTGGGCGCCATATTTATTCTAATCCAATTAACATATTCCGTTATTGCTCGGACTTCTGCCTGGAAGCTTGTGTTATGATAAGGTAAACGGTGGTATATTTATGTTTCTGGGTTTTCAATATAGAACCCCAGGCCCTGTTTGTCCCCCAATTTAAAGTCATCCGTGTAACAACGGATTCCTACTGGTATTTTCTCTAATGTTCCGCTTGACCAAAACATTCTATCTGGTATCAGCGTTTCAAAGTTCCCGACATATTATGTGTCTGGTATGAGATCAGGCACAGACTTAACATAATACATAATGCTAAATTTCTCCACAATCTGACCATGAAAAAATGTAACGGACGTTGTGAATATTTTGAAAAAGAAGGTTCTGCCAAAGATCCCACAGTAAAAAGAAAACACCTAGCCCCATTAAGGAAAAACTTATCCTAACAGACATTGAAGGGTGAGATTCATTTCTTAGTTCTACCATTCCAGCACGACCTTACGCCCAATGCAACGAGTTAAATTAGGTTTGACCCACGGATGGATGGACATTTTTTTCAAATTTTTTACCGAAATAAATTAAATTTTTATACTCACCCTTAAAAAAATACGATCTTGTCTGTCTGTTGAAAGCACAACAAAGACCGCACGAGAGCAGCTAGAGGGACCATATTTAACCCTACCGCCCATATAAGGCCTCCTTCAGAAAATTACTCTAAGTCTAATAATTACATTAAAAATAGCAGTATAGTGACGAAATTCAACGTAAAGAAGTTTTTTAAGAACAACTATCTCTACCAAATTTTATAATTCATTTTCATAATTAACCCTACCGCCCATATAAGGTCCCCAAGGACTTTAACGCTCAGAATTTGCTTAATAATAGCAGTATAGTGACGAAATTCGTCAAAAACAAAAATCACATTTCCTAGTTTGATAAGGATCGCTTTATAATTGTCCCCTTCAGTTATGACAATAATGCTCATAACTGGCTTATTAACAGTAGTATAGTGAGGAAATTAAACACAAATAAGTATTATAATAGACCCTACCCCCATCCCTTTTCGATAATGACGTTGTGACATACAACTGGCTAAAAATACAAGTTCAGTGATGAAATTTAATACAAACCAGCTTTGTTGGCCTCAAAATCTATCTACCAAATTTGTAAGGATCGATCCATCGTTCTTCTCATTTATTTGATATATGGATCGATCCTTACAAATTTGGTAGTCAGATAGTGAACCCTATAAACTCGTTTAAATTATTAAAAAATGTATATTAAATAAAACTTCAAGTGGTTAAAAAAGTCTCAACAAAATATATGTAAATGCATTAAAAATAATATTTACTATAAAAAAACCTCTAGCAAACATTTGACAGCATGTAGCTTATATTAAGAATCTTACTTTAACCCATATATTAATATTTAATCTATATCTACATACTTATTAGCAGCTTTCGTAAATTACACATTTTTTAGTATAAATTACACAGTTTTGCAGTTAAATATATGTACGTATGTAAATCTTAAACCAAACGATTTAAAGTACTTTATATAGCAGATATTTTTACTAGTAAAACTAAAACTACTTACTCATTACCACTACTATTCATAAGTATTAAATTCTGAATTTAATTTAAAACCTTATTTATTATTTCAGCTTTAGTTTTCTAAGTAGAAAAAGTCAAAAGTTCGAAGCTAATTAAACCATCAACGAAGCCAAGCTTCATGAAGCGTAAGACATAACTAGTACTAGTAGTATAATACATATGAGAATGTGTCTTAAATATTTCTGGTAAGTAGTATTTTAATACCAGAAATTATTTAACTATAATCTACATTACAGCCATATTTTTTATTCATATATCCATATATGTATGTATGTACATAGTAAATATTATGTTCAAGAGTAAGTGTTTCATACAAGTACCAGCACTTTAATCTTGTTTCATCTTTAAGATGTTCGTTGTTGTTGTTCTTCTTCTTTTCATTTTAATTTTTTATCGCAAATTATT